GCAATTTGTTCTAAAAATAGAAAAATTGTCCCATATCATAGGTGCGCGCGGATCCCAAGACTTACGGTCTCCGTCCCCGATTATGGCTCCTGATATAACATGATCATTAGGTTTAAGTGGAAATGGCTGAATTTAGGAGAGGGGTTAAAATGTCCATCAGTGTTAATGGTGAACACTTGAGTAGCGTTTACAACAATTGTCTTGCCCAAGAACACAACAGAATAACCTCACCCAGGGCTTGAACCCAGGGCTCTTGATTCTGAGTTCAGTGCTAGGCTACCACAACTCCCATTTGCAGGTGATGGGATAGAAATCTTTACAATGATATGATGTACAGCTGGTTCAAGATGTTGGTAGTTTATTATACTAAGTGGCTGAAAAAGTATATCCAAGGGGAAAATATCTGAGTTCGGGATAACCGATTACGAGATAGTGAGATTCTGTTGTAGCTAATTATAAACAATTATTGGATGGGGGTTTTGTGATATCCACAATAATTAAGGTTGAAATAGGGGTTATCAGCCAAAGTGGAAGGCTGAGGATGATAACCCCTACCTCGACCTTGACCTTACGGAGACCTTGATTATTCTGGATATCACAAAAACCAAATCTAATAATTGTTTTATTATATGTTGAACAAAGAAAAAAAATGGAAGGCAAGCTTCTGCTTCTTCACTGTCGGCAAGCAACACAAAGCACGTGAACTTGACATGATTACCCTTAGAAATCATGCTCCGCATTCATACATGACATGATTACCCATAGATGGCGCTGATTTTGAAAATTCACTGTACACTTTCGGCCAATCAGAAAAAAGATAGTGTATTCGATGTACAATATAATAATTCTTTTTTTCTTTATCTTAGGATCTTGCACTTGTGTTAGTGGTTATTCAGGTGAGTTCTGTGACAAGCCTTGTATCCAGGGTTACTGGGGCAGGAACTGCTCCATCCCATGTTGCTGTGTTCATGGTGCACGTTGTAACCCTGTTAATGGAGGGTGCACCTGCCGAGCTGATGAGGGCTGTCAGTGTGACCCTGGTTGGTCTGGCTCTGACTGTGGCACACCCTGTAGTGATGACTCTTGGGGACCAAACTGTAAGAATGCTTGTCTGTGTCAGCACAGTGGAGTGTGCAATCAGGTATTTGCGAGTTTCCTGTGATTTACAGTGTATGCTTTAGTCTGCATACAGTGTAGCAAGCGTTCTGTAAGCACTTCCCACAGAATGCTCTCTATGCAGGCTATGGCTTCAAATGAGAACTACAAGTAATGTGATACACTTCAGTATTATTGAAAATCAGTTTAATTTGTAATGGAACAAATTTTCAGAAGTAACAAAACAAAGTGCGTAGCATTCTCTATAGCCCCAGGTGTATAGCCTGGGTGGCGGGGGGAGGGGGGAATTTCATATAAAAAGGATGGGGGTGCTCATTGTACCTTGAAGAGATTTAAAAAAGGCTTTTGGTACCTCTTGGGGTGTTCAGCCTCAAAAGGTCCACAGCCTGAGCTTTCGTGGTACCTTAAAGGGTATTGAGCCCAAAAAAGTCGGTGTCATTTAATGTGTTGTTTGAGAAAAGGTACCTTATACAGGTAAAAAAAAAAATTCAAGTCACGCCCACAAAACAGGATCTTGATACATCTTAGGTTTTTTTTTTTAATTTCCGACGAATACCACGGTCCTTTTTATATGGGAGTTCCCTCCCCCCCGGGTCTATAGCCTCCTACGCAGACGCTTTTTGATCTTGTCACGCAAATTGGGGAGGTAAGATTGCGTGACGAGCCACGAGGATGTCTGCGTAAAAGGATACATTCACTAAGACAATTGATATGTCGTGCCTGGAACTTCTATTTTGAATCCTTTGTTATTGCCTTTAATTTGTATCATCATAGCACAGCTAATTTTCCTCAACAGACTACTGGAAATTGCCTATGTGCACCTGGGTTCATGGGTCTCAACTGTGAACATGCTTGTCCACCAGACCGCTTTGGTAAAAACTGTGTTCACAAATGCAACTGTGCCTCCTCTTCGTCTCTCGGCTGTCACTCGCTTAATGGCACCTGTCAATGTAAACCAGGTTTTACTGGACCACAGTGCGATGTCCCTTGCCCTGCTGGCACATGGGGTGTGAACTGTTCACAGTCTTGTTCTTGTGTTAACGGATCGTGCCATCCAATATTTGGAAACTGTACTTGTGATCGAGGTTGGCAAGGACTGCTTTGCGACCAAGCCTGTCCCAGCTGTGGTAAGTCCTGTCCAGTGTGTTACCACGGCAACGGATCTTGCGATCAAGCCACTGGGAAGTGCATTTGCTCCCCAGGGTACCAAGGAAGTTCTTGTCTGGAGTCTTGTAAAGCTGGTTACTTTGGTGAAAAGTGTCAGAGGAAATGTGATTGCGTAGATGGTACACTTTGTCACCACATGACAGGGCAGTGTCTTTGTAAGCCGGGAAGGACTGGAACGCGATGTGATGAAGGTATTGACTGTTGTTGTGATTACGTCTGTCCCTTGCACACTACGAAATTATTTTGAATCAGAAGTGACGCGTTAATAGTTTGTTTTGATGCACCCGTTAATGGCGAACCGCATGGTCAATCCTCCTTAAGGTGCTTTTAATACAAAGAGGAATTTGAGAGAAACACTGCATGTAAGATTCAAGGTATTGTGGTTGATGCCACAGGTTAGGAATAAGAGCTCAATGCACCATTAAATTGTAAGGCACATCTCAATTATTAAACCCCACAGTTTGGGTTTTAGTTATAAACCAGTACTGAGACACCGTCAAGAACTCACTAACGATGGTTGACAATATTTTATTGGAATTTTCGCCAGTGTGTCCTCGTGGAACGTTTGGACAGAACTGCACCCAGACCTGCTCTTGTGTTCGTGGCACTTGTATGCCTGAAGACGGTTCCTGTGTATGTCCCACTGGTTACCATGGCTACTCCTGTCAGAGACCCTGCCCTAGTGGCGCTGAATGCAGCCAGAAATGCTTGTGCCGCAACGGGGGCGTTTGTGATCGAGAAACGGGACAATGCAAGTGTTCTCCTGGTTGGACAGGTTTAATGTGTGAGCAGTCTTGCCTTGCAATCTCATCTATTCCTGGACGTTTTGGAGCAAACTGCTCAGAAAGGTAGGGTAAGCCAGTAATAATAGAAGTAATCTGAAATGAGGAAACCAACATCACGAAGTGGTTTTACAGAAGGGTGCTCAATTAAGAAATAAAAAATGAAAACAATCAGGAAAAATCAGTAAAAAAAGTAAAGTTATAAGCTTTGCTAGCTTTTGAAGACCAGAAAAGTATTCTCTATTACTAGCTTAAAACTCACAATTTTGATTTCTCTACTAGATGTATTTGTCCTGGGTCATGTGATCCAGTGTCTGGAACTTGTTTGTGTCCACGTGGATTCCAAGGTCCAAACTGTGCTGAAGCCTGTCCAAAGGGCTGGTACGGAGATAATTGCGTGTACAGGTGTCCCTGCATGAACAATGCATCGTGCGATCACGGGAATGGCACGTGCACTTGTGGGCCAGGTTGGTATGGCGCAAACTGCACGGAAAGCTGCCCTTCTGGTTACTACGGAATGCAGTGTGCTTCTAGGTGTCAGTGCAGTAAAAATGGTACAGACGTTGCGACATCTTGCGATCCTTTGTCAGGACTATGCAATTGTATACCTGGATATCAAGGTTACAGGTAAGATTTAGATTTTTCTTTCCTTCTAGGTTTGTGTACTGTATTGGCTAAGTTAGTTCTGTATCATGCTCTCACAGATACCTTGATTTTGTCTAGATACAATCAGGCGGCAATGTCTTGTTGACGGTTTCGCTTCTGAAGTACTATTAACACTGATGCTCAGTTTTCTTTCGAAAAGAGGAGTTGGGGACACCAAATCACGGTGGTTAACTTTGTTTTTTCTAAAAAAAATAGTGGCGGTTCAGCAGAAAACTGCATGTGGCCTGCAGGTAGCCGCAAGAAATAGACCATTTTGCAGTTGTCTACTCAGTGACCTGGTCTTTGGATGGCAGCGAGGCTGGAGTTGACCTTGTTTTGATACAGACCTCACAGCTTTTATTGTGTAAAACAAGTTGTTCTGATGCTAACTAGGTGCATTTACATGACAAAAGCAGTGAGGTCTGTATCAAAACAAGGTCAACTCCAGCCTCGCTGCCATCCAAAGGCCAGGTCACTCAGCAGACAACTGCAAAATGGTCTATTGCCGAAGTTTGCGCTTGCATTATCTTTTTGAGTTGTTCTGTATTACCGAAGTGGTCGTCGGGTTCCACTGTAGTATGATTCTCATAAGTAATATCCGTCCTTTTGGTTTGTGTTAGGTGCGAAGAGCAGTGTCCTGAAGGTTACTTTGGTAAGATCTGCAGGCAAAGTTGTACGTGTAAGAACAGCTACGCTTGCAGTTTTACAGATGGAAGTTGCACCTGCAAACCTGGTTACTATGGTAAATCGTGCGAGCTAAGTTGCCCTTCAGATCGCTACGGTATGAACTGCAGTAACGTGTGCCAGTGTGTCAAGTCAAATACCCAGTCGTGCGAAGTAGCCGATGGAACCTGCACGTGCTTGAAGGGATACACGGGCGTCTTTTGCGAGAGTGTTTGCCCCGAGGGATGGTACGGTCGTGACTGCGTCGACCCATGCACGTGCCAAAATGGTGCTGTTTGTGATCACGTGTCAGGTGCCTGCACGTGCGCGGCAGGATTCGAGGGTCGAAGCTGCGGAAAAGCGTGTGACGAGGGTTCGTTTGGTGTGAACTGCGCGTTCACGTGCGCTTGCCGGAATGGTGCGAGCTGCAGTCGCTTTACTGGCGAGTGCCATTGTGTATCTGGTTTCTATGGCGACCGTTGTGATCGTGAGTGCGCCAGTGGAAGGTTTGGGGTGAACTGTAACAGTTCATGTGACTGTAACCTGCAGAACAGCGCTAAATGCGACCCCAAAACAGGCTTGTGTCTGTGTGTGCCCGGGTTCAAAGGTATAAGATGTGACGAGGTGAGTATCGTTCTTTTTGGTGCAATGTTTGGTCTGATTGAACCCTAGAGGAAGTGGGTAGTAGTGATAGGTAGCCTTGTTGGTCCACTATTTCTCAACAACAGCAACAACAACAATAATCATAATTTCGAACATTTACGGTGTGTGACAGTATCTTAAGCCTAGGTTTCTTCACACTTTGCAGTAAAGCAGCTTAAAGTTTTGAAGTTCGTCGTTCATAATCCTTCTCGATCATTCCGAATCTTAACCATCACTTTCTCTTTTTTTGGTCTGTTTTTCAATTTAAAGATATGCTGATAAAAGACTTGACTGTAAATGTCTTTCAATCTATTTTAACAGCCTTGTCAAGATGGCTCTTATGGCAATGGCTGCAGTACGCCGTGCCCCGTATGTTCAAGTCACGTGATCGGCCCATGCGAAAAGGCACATGGCAACTGTTCGTGTTCTCCTGGTTACCAAGGCTACCTTTGCCTAGATGACTGCGCTTTGGATCGTTACGGTCTGCACTGCAAGTTAGCCTGCGAGTGTTCAGCGGGCGACCTTTGCCATCATATAAACGGCATGTGTTTGGACCTGGCCCGAGGACGGTTCAGTTTAATCGTTGAGGACAGTATAGACGATCTCAGTCTTTTGGTGCGGAAGAGAGACATCAAGCGTGGATTGGAACAACTGATGGAACAATATTACGATGACGAGCCTTCTTCTCAATCTGACTATGAAGGTAGCGCAACTCAAGCGCGTCTCAGCATGCTGGACGGAGACAACGGAACAACCGCCAACGCTGATAATCCCTCGGATGATTTCTCCACTCCCGTCAGAGATGACGGAGATCAGGAAATGTCACCCACAGGAACCAAGCACGTGTTCATGGTCCGCTTGCTGGAGTTACAGACAGTGGTTAAGGAAGACATGGGCAACGCCACTCGCGTTGTGTGTGTTCTGCTCGATAACTTTACCTTGGTGGATGGACACTATGTAGATGAGGTTCTCTCCAGAGTACCAAGCGGGGATATTTCGTCGTATCTCGCAGTTGAGTACTACCCTGGTAAGCTGTACAAGCCTGGTTCCTCAATGGAGATGCACCTCCCTCTCATCATTGGCGTCTCTGTTGGTGAGTATGTTTAGTTCGTGAGGGGTGGGGATAATTTTACGAGAGGTTTTTTTGGCACTTAAACTATACCTGGTGGAATACCGTGATTGGTGAGACGTTATGTGGTTCAGAGCCATATCTTGTACCCTGTTTGAGGGACAAGAAAAAAATCACAAGCTTCTTCAAAATGGAACTTGTTCCTGGTAGTTCCACTGTTCCTCCGTGTCCAGTGACGTCGTTTTCGTATTAAGACGTAATCGTCTTTTGAAGATTTGTTGAAGGCAAAGCTAGAACTGCAATTTTAGCACGTTTGTCTGAGTAACTAACAGATTGATTGGCTGGCCGGCTGGCCGGTGGACTCACCGACTGACTGACGGACGGACTGACGGACTGGCTAACTGACTGACTGACTGACTGACTGGCTGGCTGGCTGGCTGGCTGGCTGGCTGGCTGGCTGGCTGGCTGGCTGGCTGGCTGGCTGGCTGGCTGGCTGGCTGGCTGGCTGGCTGGCTGGCTGGCTGGCTGGCTGGCTGGACGGACGGACTGAGTTGACCGACCGACCAACCGACTGACTAGCTGACTGAGACTTACTCACCGAGCTTTAAACTCACTTATTGCTTGATGATTGATTGGCTGACTGACTGATTGATTGGTTGATCAATTGACTTACGTAATGTTTCATGCTTGTCTTTTTGTAGGCTTCTTCCTTATACTGGTCATAGTAGCTTTGTTCGCGCTCATACGCCGTAGGTACAAACGGAAATGTGGATTCGCCGCATACAAGAAGAGCAATAAAGAGCAAGCCGAGTTTGAGCTTCAACCGTGGATTGGTCGCAACACGGGCTACTTGCTGGCCTTTGACAACCCTTACTATGACGTGCTAGCGGCAATGGGATTAGACGATGACGTAGAAGAAGACTACTACAATCCTCTGTATGATGACGTCAGTGTGTACAGTGATAGTGGAGAAAACACCAGCGAGGACAGTTGTCACAAAGATCTTAGTTCCATGGTGATACGATAGACCGTAGTTGTCACCATTAGCTAGCATCGCGATAGTCCGTGTTTGGCTTTGAGTGGAAGGCTGTAGACTCGGTTGAGTTTCCTTGCGTTTCACTTCGCAGCTGCGCATCGCTTATAACGCATTTAGCTGCTCAAACATGAGCCTGCGAGAAGGTTCTCACGCGCTGCGACATGATAAAACGTCCAGGAAGGACCTCAAAAGCTAGAAGCCTACCAGAAAACAAAGGGACTTAAAATATAGAGAAAATATTTTGATACCTGTATAGAATAGCGCAATACTTTTTTAGGTTTTACAGAAAGTTATTTAACTTTTATAACTTTTTTTACGCGAATACTGCGGGATTAGTGCAGGACGATGCTTGTACCATGTTTTGTTTGTAGCACTTACCACAGTTGCCAGCGGTTTACGAGCGAAGAAAAAAACAACTTGCATGCGACGAAAATATAGAATATATAATATCAGGTTGTTTGCCCACGGAAAAGAAAGCACTGCATGCGCTACCCAGCCCCAGTAATTTCGTGCAAACGTTGACAACTAGTCGAGTTGTCCAGTTCTGGCCCTCTCGCTGTCACGCAACGCTACGCCCTCGGGAGAGGACCGTCCCCCGAGAGCGTGGCGTTGCATGACAGAGGGCCAAAACTGGACTACTAGTCCAGTTATTGAACGGTATTTTGGGGTACCCTGACAATCGTTATCTTGATCATTACTTAGAAGCTAACCTATTTAATGATTGGAGAGTTTTTGTTCAGGTAATTTTAACTGAGGGGCGCGGAGTTTAAATAGTTAGAACCTGAGGTCACTGGTATTGTGTAGTTGTTAATGTTTAGGTTTTTTTGTTAGAGCACTCTTCCAGACACTTTTGAAAGTGGCAAGATGCTTTCAGAGTTTGTTGACAAGGAACAATTGTAGTTTCGGCTGCTATCAACGGGACCACTGCAGTTCCTGGCGCTACCCGCGGCAGATGTTACTCTCGATGCCTAGTCATTGCAGCAGGTGTATGTTCTATAGACATGAGGAGTGACACGAAAAGGCTCGGAGTGGCCACTCTGTACTACATATTAGACCAAGTTGAACGAATTTTGTCGATAAAACGATTTGTGGAGCGCCTCGAACGCAGTATGACAAACTTCATTCATTTTGAAAGCGGTTGTGACACGGCTCAATTTTTGCCGCTGTTTACCTAACCCATTGCACGTTCAGTTCAATGTTTATATATTTAATTGATGCCGCATTTCTTGAAGGGCGTGCCCTTGTTTGCCTCTTGGACGCTCTAAGGTTATTTTATTTCCGCGTAGTTAGAACGAACTGAAACCAATGTTACTCCAACCGTTGTTTAATGTATTAATTGTCGAAACAACGGAGCAAGAACTACTTCGATTTTTCAGCCATTGTGTTTTTAGTTATCATTATATAGATTTTAGTATGTTATGTTCCTTGTTCGTATACAACCATGACAAAAGTTATACCGCCGTTGGGTCATGGCACGCTTTTTGATACCCAAGGTATTGCAACAAAAGGATAAATTTGAACTATAGTAAAAAGCTTACCTATTTATATTAAATTAACGTTGTATTTAAACAGTTCAAAACTTGTTATCAATTAATAAAAGTAAATTTATGGGAGGCCATATCAGTCAAAAGTGGTATGAGTTCACGACTGGTGATCAAGATATCGATCGCTATGGTTGAGTTTATCGATTGGTGATTGAAAATGTCGATCGCTGTAATTGAGATTATCGATTGGTGATTGAGATTGTCGATCGCTATGGTTGAGATTATCGATTGCTGATTGAGAACGATGGTCGCTATGGTCCAAAAAGCGATTACATACAAAGACTTACGATTGCTATGGTCGAAAAAAAGATTGGTGTCTGGAAACGATCGTCCAGAGATTGACGATCCAGAACACCTACCGCTATGATCGAGAAATCGACTTGCAACTGAGAAATGGAAAGGCCTGGTAATAAGAGAGGGATATCTCACGTATTTTAACATGACGAAGTATCCCAAGAATTTACTATGTGATCTAAGATGGCGGCTGATGATAGGAGTACTTGACGTTAATTGCAGGAATGGCTCCGAGCCTAATAAACCGCTGACCAAAACTATATATGCTGACAGACTTGCTTACATCGTATACTTTCACCACCTTTCATGTTCGTCCATACACCTTCATTCACTGATATACACGTTCATAGACCTTCATTCACCTTCGTACACCTTCATCGACCTTCATACACTTTATTTCACCTTCATACACCTTACACCTTCGTACACCTTCATCCACCACACACCTTCATACACATAGAACTTCGTACACCTTGATACTCCTTCATTCACCGTCATCCACCTTCATTCACCTTCATTAACCTTCATTCATATTCATACACCTTCATTCACCTTCATTCACCTTCATTCACCTTCATTCACCTTCATAGACCTTCGTACACCTTCATACACCTTCATTCACCTTCATACACCTTCCTCCACCTTCATAGACCTTCATTGACCGTCATTTACCTTCATTTACCTTCAT